TTTTTATGCCATGAGATTTATGGTTTATTGTAGTTATTAAAACTTGAATGGTGCTGTAAAGTGTTAGTAACTTAAAATACGAAAATTTTCCTTACCATTTATTTTCAGAGGTACTCCAAAGGTTATTAAAAGTAACTTATAAAAAATGCAGGACAAATAAATACTCATTAGCTATGACTATTGGCATCATTTTATGTCTATGTATGTCTTAAAAATGATGCTGTCTTTCCTTTGTATTTATTTCAAACATAGCATGGTATCTTTCCTTTTGTTATAAAACCATGTCTATTAAAATGTGAATGCCTTCAAAAATGCTATTTTTATAACATTTGTATATATACAAACATTTATATTCTGAATTAATACAAATTGGCTTTTTATTTTGGCAAACCTTTCTTAGAATGTTATAAAATATCATTGGAAAATTTTAAAACAGAGGTCAACTGGTAGAGTGCCTACTTTCACAAGCACAAAGCCCTAAGTACAAACCCTAGTCCCAACAAAAATTTTTTTAAAAATCAAATTAACACAACTTGTTATCTACACATGGCATCAACATTATTCTAGGAAAAAAAACACATACCAGAAGATCTACTTTTTATTAAATCTACAGATTTTAAAGTAAAACAGTTTCCCCAGAAAATTACAAAGCACTAAATTTTCCGTGGATTCATTCAACCTAGAAATTTCACTGGGTGGTCATCCTGTACTGTGAATATATATACACATACGAAAATACTGAGAACAAATCAAGTGTCCTAGGTTAGCAAGTAGGAGCTATCAGTAACAAACTGTAAAGTTTGGAATTCTACAGCTTCTCTTTAAATGCAGAATGGAAGCTGTCAGTTTCCTGCATTCCACTCAGTTTACAGATTTAAGACAATATGTAGTTTAGTTGTAAAATGTAGCTATATAATAAACAAAATAGTTATCTCATAAAACATTTGCTAAATGAACTAATTTGGTTTGACACTTAAAATAGTGTGTTAGTTCTTACTGAGGTAGTAGTGCTTTTTTCCCAGTAGTCACATTTACCAATTGATCATTTAATCATTTAATCATTATCATTATCATTTAATGTTGTTTCCTGATGATGAACAATAAAATGTCTGCATATCTATGTTATGTCAATGGGTACCAAGATATATTGTATGAAATCTACTTGGCTAAATACCAGTAAAATCTATATTTTGTGTGAATTAGAATAAACATTTAGAAAATCACACGTGATCAAACCATAACACATTTTTTACAAAAACTGATCTTGTCCAGTGAAAGTTTTGTGTGGCCCCTATTTCTTTAGTAGTGATTCTCATAATTTCATCTGATCATATGTTCTTTCAGTTAATTAGGAGAACCAATATTGTGCTTCCCTAAACTTTCCACATTCTTACTGCATCTCAATATCTTACCTAAAATATTAAATGATTCTACTAAAAATGAACAGACAAACACAACCATCCAGCAGCTCTCTACCTTAGTGCAAAAACATAATACCAAAGAAAATTCATTAACTTAAAGGAGTGACTCTGTACTTTTTTCATCTTGGCTTCAGAGGACTTATGTTCATTTGCAGATTCTCTGCATTGAATCTTGACAGAAACTTAACATAGTATTGTGAACCCTGGGAATGTAACTTCTAGGTATACATTCATGATAAAATATCATAACATAGGAAGTTGCAAATGTGCAGTTCAGCAGCATGGCCTCCTCCATGATACTTTCAGTCTCTGGCTGACAATGTTCTGCTTCCAAAGTTGCAGTCTTGTCTTTACCACAGCCATCAGAAAAGACATAGACACATATGTGGCCCACATTACAGTGGGCCAAACTTCAAAGGACGCTTATCACCTCCATTCACATTCTGTAGATGGAAACCAAGTCCCATGGCCAGATTTACTTGTAAGGGAGCCTAACCCAAGAGAAAGAGAATCAATTATGATGGCCATCCAGCAGCCTTGTGCTATAAATATTATATTACTATAAATAGTAATTCTAGTTATTCTTTTCTAAATTATTGTAGAAATGCACTTTATTTTTTATTATTGTTTATACATTTATTCATATGTGTATACATTGTTTGGGCCACCTCTCCCCCCCTGCCTCCCTCCCACCCTGCCTCCCATCCTCCTACCACTATCTCCCAGCCCCCCTCACATCCTGGTAGAACCTGTTCTGCCCTCTTCTCCAGTTTGTTCAGAGAAAACATAAGAGGTAATAAGAAAGACATAGCGTTTGGCTAGTTTGAGATAAAGATAGCTATACAGAAAGATTCCTAGCATTGCTTCCATGCACATGTGTATTACAACCCAAATTGGTTCATCTCTACCAGGCCTCTTCACTACTTCCTGGTCACCTTCCCATAAACTCTACCAGTGTAAGATTGATTACTTTATTTGCTCCTCTACAGTGGGCACATCAAACACTTTCAAGTTTTAGGTTTCCTTCCATTTCCCTATTCCTCCTGTTTGTGTTCTCCCCTTAGCATGTGACCCATGTCCAATAATATTACTGCATTTGTTTTAGGTCTATAATCCACATACGAGGGAGAACATATGATTTTTGGCCTTCTGAGCCTGGCTAACTTGGCTTAAGATGATGTTCTCCAGTACCATCCATTTACTTGCAAATGACAAATTTTCGTCCTTCTTTGTGGCTGAGTAAAATTCCATCATGTACAAATACCACATTTTCTTAATCCATTCGTCAGTAGTGGGGCATCTTGGCTGTTTCCATACCTTGGCTATTGTGAATAGTGCTGCAGTGAAAATGGGTGTGCAGGTGCCTTTGGAATAACCTGAGTTGTATTCCTTTGGGTATATTCCTAGGAGTGGTATTGCTGGATCATATGGCAGATCTATGTTTAGTTTTTTAAGAAGCCTCCATAGTGTTTTCCAAAGTGGTTGTGCTGGCTTACATTCCCACCAGCAGTGTATGAGGGTTCCTTTTTCCCCACATGCTCGCCAACATTTATTAGTGGTGGTGTATTTGATGAGCTATTCTAACAGGAGTGAGGTGGAATCTTAGTGTGGTTTTGATTTGCATTTCCTTTATGGCCAGGGATGGTGAGCTTTTTTTTTCATGTGTTTTTTTTTGCCATTTGTATTTCTTCCTTTGAAAAAGTTCTTTTTAGTTCAGTTGCCCACTTCTTTATTGGTTCATTGATTTGGGGGGGGTTAGTTTTTTGAGCTCCCTGTATATTCTGGTTATCAGTCCTTTGTCTGATGTATAGCCAGTGAATATTTTCTCCCACTCTGTGGGTGTTCTCTTCAGTTTAGAGACCATTTCTTTTGTTATGCAGAAGCTTTTTAGTTTCATGTAGTCCCATTTGTCCATCCTTTCTCTTAGTTGCTGAGCTGCTGGGGTTCTATTGAGGAAGTCCTTGCCTATACATATAGTTTCCAGAGTGTTCGCTGCTCTTTCCTGTTCTAACTTCAGAGTTTCTGGTCTGATACTACTAAGGTCCTTAATCCACTTTGAGTTGATACTAGTACATGGTGATAGACATGGACCTAGTTTCAGTTTTTCTGCAGGCAGATGACCACTTTTCCCAGCAACATTTGTTGAAGAAGCTGTCTATTCTTCATCGTATGTTTTTGGACCTTTGTCAAAACTAATGTGGGCATAGCTGTGTGGATTTATATCCGGGTCCTCTGTTCTGTTCCACTGATCTTCATATCTGTTTTCGTGCCAGTACCTTGCTGTTTTTATTGCTATGGCTCTGTAGTATAGTTTGAAGTCGGGTATTGTGATACCTCCAGCATTGCTCTTTTTGTTGAGTATTGCCTTGGCTATTCATGGTCTCTTGTGTTTCCAAATGAACTTTAGAGTAGATTTTTCAATCTCTGGGATGAATGTCATTGGGATTTTGATGGGAATTGCATTGAACATGTAGATTGCTTTTGGTAGTATAGCCATTTGTACTATGTTGATTCTGCCAATCCATGAGCATGGGAGATCTTTCCACCTTCTGTAGTCTTCCTCAATCTCTTTCTTCAGTGGTTTGTAGTTCTCCTTGTAGAGGTCATTCACATTCTCTGTTAAGTTTACTCCTAGGTATCTGACTTTTTTTTAGGCTATTTTAATTGGAATCATTTTCCTATATTCTTTCTCAATTTGTTCATTGTTGATGTACAGAAAGTCTACTGATTTTTTTCAGCTACATTGCTGAAGCTGTTTATGTTGTCTGGGAGATTTTCGGTAGAGTTTTTTGGGTCTTTGAGATATACGATCATATCATCTGCAAATAGGGATACTTTGACAATTTCTTTACCTATTTTTGTTCCTTTTATTACTTCTTCTTACCTTATTGCTCTCGGTAGGAATTCCAGGTCTATGTTGAATGACTAGAAGTGGGGAGAGTGGACACCCTTTTCTTGTTCCTGACTTTAGGGGAAATGGTTTCAGTTTTTCTCCATTAAGTATGATGCTGGCTATAGATTTGTCATAGATAGCCTTTATAATGTTGAGATACATTCCTTCTATTCCTAGTTTTCTTAAAGCTTTTATCATGAAGTGGTGTTGAATCTTATCAAAGGCTTTTTCTGCATCTATTGAGATAATCAAGTGGCTTTTGTCTTTGTTTCTATTAATGTACTGTATTACATTTATAGATTTGCATATGTTGAACCACCCCTGCATCCCTGGGATGAAGCCAACTTGGTCACGGTGAATTATCTTTCTGATGTGTTGTTGGATTCAGTTTACCATTATTTTATTGAGGATTTTTGCATCAATGTTCATTAAGGAGATTGGCCTATAGTTCTCTTTTTTAGAGGTGTCTTTGTCGGGTTTAGGGATGAGTGTAATACTGGCTTCATCGAATGGGAAACTCACTTTAAATACATGGTTATCAGAGTGCTTTTGATTAAGACAGAGTTCAATAAGTAAAAGTTATTTTTCTTCTGAAATTCAGTAGTGACCTAGTCTATTACAAGCACAGAAACTAGTTCATAAGCAATGAAAGTATACAGATTTGTATTTCTGTTTTTCTTTACCAGGACGGACATATAATGATCTGAACCAATACCCTGTGTTTCCATGGGTGTTAACAAACTATGAATCAGAAGAATTGGACCTAACTCTTCCAGGAAACTTCAGGGATCTATCAAAGGTAACTTATTAATATATAGAAGTCTATAGAGGTAGCTGCAGTCTAAAGAATTTCTATCAGAGTGAGTATATCTAATTAAGAGTGTATATAAGTAAACCTGGTTGTCTCCTTTTGTAGTCACTCTCTGAATCTCATCAATTCATACCACAGGAATTAATGTACAGGAAGATAAATCAGTGCTATCATAGACAAAATGAAATGGGTGCTTGAGAAAAAGCAGATGTAGGGAGAGGTTGTTCAATCTTTAAAAGTCATGTTAAGAAACCTGAAATTAGTACAAAGTATGATATAATGCATCACTGATGTGTTCCTTAGGTGATGAGGAATATAAAATACACACACTCTTAACAAGTATTCAGTATTAAGGGGAACTTAATTCTGTTTATGAAGGGTCTGTTTAGATCCAAGAGAGAGGATATGGCCTAAAAATGGTAAGAAAAGGGGATGAGAAATAAGAAAGCAAGTTTTGGGTAACTTCACCTCATTTGTAAAGAAGAAAGCTAAGTGGGTTGCAAAGCTATACAGTGAAGAATTGAAAAGTAGTTCATAAAGCTGCTCTGAATCCTGAGCTGGTAGCTGGTACAATGAACCATGCTCCTTGAGAATCTGTACTCTAAATTCTTATTGTGCATAATATGTATAAAATATATGTATGTGTGTTTGCTATGGTTCTAATATGTAATGGATTTATGGCCTAAGCCTGGCCCTAAAGTTTACTTTAGCCACAATAAAATGTCAGCCCATTCACTTTGAAATCATCTCTCTTTCCAACCAAATTTGATTGTCTAGTTTAGCAGTCCCCAGAGTTTAAGAGTACTTGTGTACTCACTTGGTTTGGAATGGGGGACAGGGGATAAAGGCTTATGGGGCTTCTGAGCAGGGCAGTACAAGCATTCAAATCAGGGAAGCATTACTGCAGCCAATTTAAAATTATGCCACAGATGATTTTTAACTCAGCATGCCTTCTCCTGCCTCTTTTCTTTCCTTTGAAAGTTAGACCTATCCAAGCTGAAGTTTTGTATTCCATTATAATAGCTGTGTGACCTAAAGGTACTTTATCTTGGCTCATTTGTAATATGAGAATAATAACAGCATCCTACCTCATGCAGGTGTTAAAGTCAAGTGGCCTATACATTTAAAGAGTGTAATATAGTACCTGGCACACAGAAACATTTCATGAATTATTAATTATTACACATGGAATACTTCTTAGTCTGTTCACCTATTTTTCCTTTTTTTTTTTTGATGGGAGTGGAGTTTAAACTCAGGACTTAGAGCTTGCAAGTTTGCAAAGCAAGTGCTCTACCACTTGAGCCACATCTGCAGTCCATTTTCCTCTGGTTATTTTGGAGGTGGATGGGGTCTCACAAACTGTTTGCCTGGGCTTGCCTCAAAATATGATCCTCCTGATCTCAGCTTTCCAAGTAGCTAGGATTACAGGCATGAACCATCAGCACCCAGTTTTTCCATATTCCTATATGCCATTCACTCCCTAATTCTTTTATTTTATGTGACTTCCTTATCAAATTACAGTTACCAGGCCATTGCTAATTTTAGTTTATGTATTATAGATGATAAGAGGGACCTAAGAGATCAATTAATGAGCATCTACTGAATCACACAGCTGGTAAAAAAAAATGCTAGCAACTGAAACCTAGTATGCTTGCAAATATAATAATTTTCCCAGTGCAGTTTGACTGAACGAAAATCTGATATTATTATTATGTTGCAAGTAATCACTTAGGCTCTGGAAGATAGAGCATTGTAATTCATGGAGCCTTCCTTCTTGTTATCTAAATAATAAAATCAATCCCCACAAATTAAATAATCTGGTAGTATATTATTCAGAGAAATCTACACAAGTGGCAGTAAACAGTGTTAGTTACAAGAGTTCTGGAGCCGGACTACCTGGATTCAAATCTTAATTCTGCCACTTACCAGCTGTGGAGAATTAGACACAGTTACTTACTCTTCCTTTGCCTCAGTTTCCTGACCTTGGGGACAATAAAAATAGGGTTATTGCAAGGAGCTGGTGAGATTAACAATAAATAACTTAGAACAGTTCTGGCACATCATTATTAGTTAATGCTGTCTCTTTCAAATAATAATGATAAATATATTCTATGCGTCCATATTTTACTTAGTACATCTGACTGATACGCATTTTTTGTCATGACTTGCCAAGGTTGACGTGTATCTTTGAGTGTAAAACAAAACCAAATTAGCTCATCAATGAAAGGACAAAAACTTTAAAAATAGTTAACAAAAACTTGTCTGAGCTGGTCGCAGTGACTCACTCCTGTAACCCTCGCTTCTCAGGAGGTGGAAATCCTGAGAGCTGTGGTTCCAGGCCAGCTTGGGCAAAGCAATTGCAAGATTCCATCTCAAGCAATAAAAGAGCTTGAGGTGGTGGCAAGCGCCTGTCATCCCAGCTACAGCTATGTGGAAAACATGTATGGGAGTATCACAGTCCAGGCTAGCCTGGCATAAATGTGAGACCCTGTTCAAAAAATAACTAAAGCAAGAAGGACTGGGGCCGTGGCTCGACCAGTAGAACACTGCTCAAGCCCAAGGCCCTAGTTCAACCTTAGTACCACAGAAAAAGTCTTGTCTGAATGTGTTTTGTTTAACATTAATTGAATAGACATTATATATTAAACACTGTAAAGTGTGTGAAAAATATATATATAATGAAAATTTAGAGTCTAGATTCTCAAGGAGCATGATAAATTGAATTAAAACCTCATAAACTGACTACTACTATGGCTTTCTAAGTTTGAGGGATTTTTTGGTTTTTGGCATTTCTGTGGCTTGAACTGAGGGCTTCACACTTACCAGGCAGGCATTCTACCATTTGATCCACACATCCAGCCCTTTCTGTCCTGTCTGTTTTGGAGATAGGATTTCACTTTTTTGCCCAGGTCAGCCTGGACCACAATCTTCATATTTATGCTTCCCATGTACCTGGAATTACAGATATGTGCTACCACACCCAGCTATTGTCTGAGATGGGGTCATAAGTCTCCCCCACACCCCAGACTGTCCTCAAATTGCAATCCTTCCTATCTCCAATCCCAAGTAGCTAAGATACAGGCATCAGCCACAAGTACCCAGCTTTAATATTCTTTTTAAAACAGAGAAGGAGGTTCTTTTACTTTGAAATCCAACTGACATACCATGGTGAAAGAAAACATAAGATCAAGATTCTCTCTTTCCTCCATTTATTTATTTTTTCAGTTATTCAGTCAACCAATATTTAATATGCACTCACTGTATATCCAGAAGATAAACTTCTGTACTAACTAGATAGGAGAGTATTGCAATGAATGAAATAGTCACAGCCTCTTGAAGTGGGTTCATTCCTGAGCAAAGGTGGGAAGTTAGTTAACAGGGGCCAGTATTGGTGACATGAGTGTAGTGGGGGCTATACCACACTGGGGAATGCGTGCTCAACTATCTGAGACATTTGGACTGACGTGTTCTTGGAGTCCTAACCTAGCCAAAGAAAATATCAGCTCATTATGATTAATATGAATTATAGAAGACATCTGGTAAAATATTTACTAGTAATAACAGATTTTTAGTTTATTCATGTAGAAAACAATAAGATAAATTAAAAGAGGAAGTCATGTTTCTAAAGTCACTGGAGGATGGAAACATTTTTCAAGTTTCTTAAGCTGATCTGTTAATGTATATTTCCTTTGGCAGAGCTCTTCCCTTTGTGATCCACATGTACGCTTCCATTGTATATTAGTGTTAAATAGTAGTAGAGGTAAACTATTCTGTATTAAGTAAACTGGCAACATTAAATTACAACTTATACTTTTGCCAAGTGTGAATTCCTCCCATGTTGTGAACAGTTTTAATCCATGAGCTCTTAAAAGACAGATAGCTTTTTCTTCCAGTTCTACTATACTCTATGCTTTAGCAATTTGTTCTTCAATCCTGTCACACTAATGTGATAGGAGAATGTTTAGCAAATTAAAGCCTCTTGATTATGTTAATAAATTACTCTTGAATTGTTCCCATGCTCCATTGAATTTCTTAATAGGAACTTCTTATAAATGGTCTAGAAACCAATACTATCTTGTATAAAAACTATTATAAACAATTTTAATGTATGAAAATATATCTTGTTATACACATAATGGAAAAATGACATTTCAAGTATAATTAAAATAATTGGAAGAAAAACTACTGAAGAGATGCCTGCCAGAAGCACCTGAAATTATTGGACTGTAATGGAGAATTTTGCTACTTTTCAAAAGAAAAATTGGAATAATTTAACATTAAACCTGGAAAAAGCACTTTAGAATGTTTTCTAGCATTTTAGATTCTAACTGATTTAATTGTTAAAACTCAACAAAAGATTGTGAGTTTCCTAATCCAAAATTAATAATTCCTACCAATGAATAATTCTAGAATTTTGTTTCAGTAAACATTTGTAGCCCCAGATAATTTACTATATTCTTTTACTGCATTAAAAATTAAGATTTCTATGAAATGTTGCAATCATAAATATCAAATATTTCTTTTTTTCTTTGTATTCCACTGTATTACATTGCAGATTGACCTCAGAAATTCTGTGTTTTCTTCAGTTATGAAAACTTTTTTAATTAAAATTTCAAAAAAAAAAAATTCAGAAAATCCACTCAAATTGGTCTCGAACATTAACTCAATTCTGTTGGTTCTTCATAACTGAGAAAGTTTGATTTTGCAAGCAAAGATTTGCTTCCAGTGATTTTGAGATAATGCCCCCTCAAGAACCTTTTTTTTTTCCATTGTTCTTCCTAGGTTCACCATTGTGGGCTTTAAACTCAACCTTCCACTGGATAGCACACCCAAAAAAGCCTTCAGGCACTCTCTCTTAGTAAGGCCAAAATGGTTGCCGTATTCCTACCTCACACCATAACATCCAAAAGGAAAAAGAGAAACACACCGGTAGGGCCATGGAAGACAACAGCATTTCTTTCTCAGAAGTCACCAGAAAACGTCTTTGT